TAGGTGGCCCCTCACAGTCGTGTCCCCTCCCCAGGAATCACCTTCAAGCCGCCTGAGTACAAGGAGCACGACTTCCGGACGCCTCCCAAGTTCCTGACGCCCCTCATAGACCGGGTGGTCGTGGCTGGGTACCCCGCCCCTCTCAACTGTGCCGTGAGAGGCCACCCGAAGGTGCCGGGGCCGGGCTGCCCTGCATAGGTCGTGTGTGCGAAGCCCTGAGGGAGACCCTGGGCACCCCGACACCCACTCCCCAGGCGGCAGCCTTTTGGGTCCCCTGTTCACGGGATCTGCTTGCTGTGATCCACTTCCTGTTCCCCCAGGTCCCTGCAGTCACACCTCGTTCCCTGCTGCAGGTGACAGCTACTGGTCCCGGTGACCCTGGGGATGGCCACCCACTCTCTCTTGTCCCGTCTGAGGACAAAAGCCAGTTCCTCAGAAACAGAAGGCCCTCTGCGGATGGGGCTCGCGAGGTCTTCATGTCCCACCCCGGTTTCCAGAATGTCAGGCAGGGACACTCGCAACCCTGAGCTTGGTGACGTGTAGGCCAGGGTCGGCCACGGACGGCGTGGGCCAAATCTGCCTGCCACTTGGCCCTCAGCAAGCCTTTACCAGACGGGGCCGTGCAGCTGGTCTCTGGCTGTTTTAGTGCTGGGTGGCACCGTGTGCTTCCCAGACCGCAGGGCTCGCGAGACCCGCCCTCTGTGGGGAGGGTCTGCCGATACCTGGGCTGGACTCCAGGTTTTCCTTCCTTTCCTTTTTTTTTTTTTTTAAAGAATCATTTTATTTAACTTTATTATTTTGACTTGACCAATGAGAGACACAGCAAGGGGGGGAACAAGAAAGCAAGCCACAAGGGCCAGGACTTGAACTGAGGTCAGCCATGTAGAAGTCCAGCGCCCCTAGCTGCCATGCCACCTGCTAGCCCCTCCTTTTCCTTTTTTTAAAAAAAATTATTACTTTTATTTAACTTTTTATTCATTCATTTATTTTAATTTGACCAGAGAGGGACACACACAGAGGGAGGGAAAGTGAGAAAGTAAGCCACCAGGTCTGGGACTTGAACTGTGGTTGGCCATGAGGGAGTGTCCAGAACCTTAACCACCATGTCACCTGCTGGTTCCCCTTTTCCTTTTTCTTAAAAGAAAGTTTTGCAGGACCAGCAGCTAGCGTAATGGCTATGTCGCTGGACTTCCACGTAGTCGACTGTAGCTCGAGTCCCGGACCTGGTGACTTAAACTCACACCCGGCGTGTGTGCATACCCAAGATCCTGAGAGGAGAATGGAGGAGGAGAAGGGATTGTGGCGTGGCCATAGCCCCTGGGGGGTGATTTTTCGCTTTCTGTCTTTGTCATTTTTCTTTGTTGTCTCTGTCATTCTGGCGAGCGCACGTGCCTTCTAGCCAAAACCTCTCCTCCCCCAAAAAAAGGTTTTGCCATAGTGTGTGTGCGAGAGAGCGAGAGAGGGAAAGCGAAAAATCACCCCCCCCAGAGGGCTGGCCACCCTGCAATCCCTTCTCCTGGGATTCTGAGCACGCACACTCATAAACCCAGTGTGAGTTTCAAGCCTCTGGGTCCACAACTTGTGGTCAGTCACGTGGGAGTCCAGCGCCTTAACCACCACACCACCTACCAGCCCCATTAAAAAAAAGAAAGTATTTCATGAGCTTGAGAGAGGACAGGCTGCCTCAGACAGGGATCGTGATCCTTCTGGCGCTCGGGCACATGAGCCCCGTGTACTCAGGGTGTTCGCTAGATTCGAACCTGGAACCTTCTCAGTGGGACTGCGTCACGGAGCATTACATCTTATCACTGCACGGCCGTCCAGCCTCTCCATTCATTCATTCATTCATTTTGGAGGTTTTTGCTTTAGGGTGCATACACTCGCCAGAGAGAGAGAGAAAGCGAAAAATCACCCCCCAGGGGGCACGGCCATGCTACAATCCCGTCTCCTCCATTCTCCTCTCTGGATCTTGGACACGCACGCATACGCGGCCAGCATGAGTTTAAGCCACCGGGTCCGGGACTCGAGCCATGGTTGACTACATGGACACTGCGCGTCCCCCTCCATTTATTTAAGCACCCATGGGCTTTTAGAGGCTTTCCAATGTACTTTCCAGTGAACTTTCCTGCATGCTGGGGGAGATCAACACGAACCCAGGGTCACTCAGCACATCAGGAAGGTGTGAGTGGGCTCGCAAGGTGCACTCCTGTGGGCCCGTGGCATGGCCCCATCCCCTCTAGGGCAGGCAGCGACCTGCAATCTGAGACTGAAGAGGCACATCTGAGCTGAGCCCCAGGAGGGCAGGGTAGTCCCTGCAGCCAGAACACGAGGATGCTGAGCCCGTGTGGCCAGAGCGGCGGGTAGGCGGGCGGCAGCACCCAGAGGCCAGGTCGTGGGGCCCTGGGGACCGCTAGCCTGCCCCTCTGGGGTTAGTGAGGGGCACTGCCACCCTGT